ATCTCCAAAATACCGAATATAGACGTGGTTTTGTCATAAGCCATTGCAATATTTAAATACGAAACTTGAAAAAGTCCAGTGAATAATGTTGCTGAAACCATCAAAATATCGAATACAGAAGGGGCTATATATACCTGCATACATAATTTTCTGCCACTGAATATTATAGTGGTCAGCAACAAAGAAGGGGGGATTTTTCTAGTTCTATTATAAATAACAACAATTAAAAAAGCTGTAAGTTCGGCCGGACCGTACTTTGAATACTCTCCACCATTTGGTACAAATTTGGCAATTTTCAAAAAGAAAAAAATAAAATCCTTTAAAAATTTTGTTAAAATCTTAAAAATACCGAATGTAGCCGTATATTAGGGTCTATACGACGACCTGGGCCTGCATTGACAATTTTTGTAATAAGCCATTACAATATTCAAATGCGAAACTTAAAAAAAAAATGTTTAAAAAAATAAAATCCATTTAAAATTCTGTTAAAACTTTAAAACCACCGAATGTAGCCGTTATATTAGGGTCTATACGACGACGTGGGCCTGCATTAGCAATTTTTGTCATAAGCCATTACAATATTCAAAGGGCTAAAATCATCAAAATACCGAAAATAGGGAGGTACCGTTACATTGTTGCTATACGAAGACGTGGACCTGCACCTGTTATAGGTTGTACTATCCATTACGAACTCCAAATAATAAATTTGAAACAATTCCGGTGAATAATGTCGCTAAAATCAACAAAATACCGAATATCGGGAGGTATCGTTATAAGGGGGCTATAAGATGGCGTGGACCAGCACAGACAATTTTCTATCTTAGGCTGTAGTATCCATTACGAACTTCAAATACCAAATTTGAAGCAATTCGTGTGAATAATGTCGCTAAAATCATCAAAATACCAAATATCGGGAGGTACCGTTAAGTGGGGGCTATACCAAAACGACAATTTTATACTTCAAGGATTGTCACCTACCAAATCTTCTTAAATACCAAATTTGAAACAATTTCATTTGGGTAAATGTGACTAGGATTATCAAAATACCGAATATCTGTGAATAGTGTTACATGTGCGCTATAGGAAAACGTGGACCTAAATTTTCAATGTCCTGCCGCTGGAGCTAGAACCTATTATACCAAATACCAATTTTAGACAAATCAGCGGAAAAATGTGTCAAAAAATCATCAAAATAGCGAATATCGGGAGGTATCGTTACATGGGAGCTATACGAAAACGTGGACCTTTGCATACAATGTTACGCCCCCGGAGTTAGAACCCATTATGACCTACAAATACCAATTCTTAGACAAATCCTTGGAAAAATGTGGTAAAAATTATCGAAATAGCGAATATTGGGAAGTACCGTTATATGGGGTCTATACAAAAAACGTGGACCTATATATATCCTTTTGCGCCACCAGAGTCAGAACTTGTTTCTAACTACAAATACCAATTCTTAAACAAATCCGCAGAAAAATAGGGCAAAAAATCATCTAAATAGCGAATATCGGGGTGTACCGTTATATGAGGGCTATACAAAAACGTGACCTATACGTGGACCTATACATACATACGTGGACATATACATCGCCACCGGAGCTAGAACCCATTATGACCTACAAATACTAATTTTAAGACAAATCCATGAAAAAATGTTGCGAAAATCATAAAAATCCCGATTATCGACAGGAACCGTTATATAAAGAATATACCACAACGTGGACCGATATATCACATTTTCAATACCAACCATTCTAGACACAATATAAATTGTTCTGCTAAATTTTGACGCTCTACGTCAAATAATGTGGGCTGTATTGTGATTTCAACATAAAGACGGACATCGTTAAATCGAATTAGAATTTTTTGCTGACTATGAATATATATATTTTAAAGGGTCGGAATGACAAAGTTAATATACCCTACTTTTCAAGGTGAAAATTTTACGCTACCTGCATTTAATGTTCCGTAAGATGTGAAAACTGCTGTTTCACCCCCATATGCCTTAAAATTAGATATTTATTTGTTGGTCCACTTACATTCGTTCTATGTGCGTAGCCCCATCTACGGCGGAACTTAATTATGTATTTACTTCGCATTATGAATTGTGAATGTTTCAACAACATTTGTCGGCTTGCCAGTCACTTAACCATAGACGCTTCGTGGAGCATGAAATTTAACAGGTTTCTGCTGTTATGAATTCTTTTTTCGGCCATTTAAAAATATTTTGAATGATAAAATTGCAGGCGTTGTAAACAAATTAACACATAAAGTGTTGGCGTCCGTCGTCTTTGCGGGTCATTAAGAATTAAACGAAAAAAATTTACTTAAAATTAGTGAGATTTTGAATATTAATTAAATGGGTCAAATGTAATATGCATATATAGGTGGTATTTGCGTATTGGAGACGAACACATTGTGTTTTCATTTTTGAGAGTAGAAAGTCTCAGTATCATTTAGGCATAAAATGTGAGACATATCGGATATGGATATTCAAGAAAATAACAAGTTAAATTAGCATAAGTTTTTTATACCATATTTAGGTGGCAGTACTTGTTAGAACGTTTGGAAGTGTTCGGCAAAAGGTCGCCAATATTACTGATAATTATACGAGGATTATTTTGGTTGAAAATTGTAAAACTAAAGCGAGTCAACAAAGGAGACTCTCTGGACGTTTTTTCTTGATATTTTCAAAAAGACCCTTTAGATGGGACGAGCCAAAATTTCCTATAATATTTTACTTTTTAGGGAAAGTGTCGAAATAAGAAATACCGAACTTTGAATACCCTCCACCATTTGGAACAAATTTGGCAATTTTCAAAAAAATAAAATCCGTTAAAAATTCTGCTAAAATCTTATAAATACCGAAAGTAGCCGTATATTAGGGTCTATACGACGACGTGAACCTGCATAGGTAAATTTTGTCATAAAACATTACAATATTCAAATGCGAAACTTAAAAAAATATCTTTATAATGTAGCTAATACCGAATATAGGGAGGTACCATGGGGGTTATAAAACGTGGACCTGCATAGACAATTTTCTGTCATAAGCTGTAGTATACATTACGAACTTCAAATGCGAAATTTGAAACATTTTCGGTAAATAATGTCGCTAAAATCGTCAAAATACCGAATATTGGGAGGTACTGTTATATGGGGGCTATACGAAGACGTGGACCTAAATGGCCGATTTTCTGTCTTACGCTGTAGTATCTACTACTATTTGAAACAATTTCGGTAAATAATGTCGCTAAAAATCATCAAAATACCGAATATCGGGAGGTACCGTTATATGGGGGCTAAACGAAGACATGGACCTGCACAGACAATTTTCGGTTATAGCCTGTAGTATTCCTTACGAACTCCAAATACCAAATTTTAAATAGTTCCGGTAAATAATGTCGCTAAAATCCTCAAAGTACCGAATATCGGGAGTTACCGTTATATAGGGACTATACAAAGATGTGGACCTGCAGAAACAATTTTTTGTCTTAGGCTGTAGTATCCATTACGAACTTCAAAAACCAATTTAGAAACAATTCCGGTAAATAATGTCGCGTTATATGCGTTATATGGGGGCTATACGAAGACGTGGACCTACATGGCCCATTTTCAATACCAAAAGTCCTGCAGACATAATACACATTTGAGATTATTTTTATCAACATACTTCATTTCGTTTGGAAGCTAGAGTGATTTCCACAGACGGACAGACATAGCTAAATCGACATAGAATTTTATGCTGATCAAGAATATGTGTACTTTGTGGGGTCAAAAAGGTCTATATCGAAGTGTTACAAACGGAATGACAAACTTAATATACCCTCCATACTATGGTGGAGGGTATAAAAACTCATTTATTTTTGACTAACTTGTAACTTTTTCTAATTCTCTACCAAACACCATCCTGAGGTTGTGGAAAATTCCAAGTGAATTTTATAATACTCGGTTTGTATATCGAAATCTAAAACGAGGGGACCCAAAATTTTGGGAAACATTTTACAACATTAAATATTAGCTTTGACATTTTATAGAGAACTTAAGGGCTAGGTACATAAGAAGCTTGAAGTCATGGCTAGGCATATTAATGTCAAATTATAATGGAAAACGACGGCTGGATTTTAGTGCGGCTCTGTAATCCCTTTGTGAAATGTCACAAAATATGCCTAGCCATGACTTCAAGCTTCTTATGTACTTAGCCCTTTAGGATTACTTCAAGAATTATGGATTAAAAAAATTTGTCATGTCGGTTCACGTTTTCATATAGTCCCTATATAAAGGTAAATCCTGACTTCGAGGTTTGTTTTTAAGATTAAGACACATTTTCCAATCAATTTGGCAAAATTTTAATATATGGAGTTCATGCTATGTAGAAACGCTACCAGCAAAAAAAAATATCATATTGGTTCACGTACTGGTACATACGTACTCTTTAAAAGCCACTCCGTTTAAAGGCCATAATTCGTGCCAAAGGTGACTAATTCAAACAAATCAAAACTTATTCTAAAATTTGATGATATTTCCGACATTTTTTGCTTTCATTCAATAAAATTAAAAAAAAAAAAAATTAAAGTTATGTCGTTTGACTTTGTTGCAGTTTTTTATCTCACCCTGTACATATAAACCTTGGCATTAACGTCATCTTTCCTAGGAAGTTTACCGAAACATAATCTGTTCTCTTATCACAGAGAACATCAATGACTAACCAAATATACACAGATTTGTGGTCTGATAAAGTTCACAGTCATGACTTTAAAATTACTTTCATAACACACCAAGAGAATTCGTTCAATTTGTAATTTTTTTTGTTTTTGTTTTTAAAACTCATTGTCATTTAATATTTATTTGTCAACAAAACAGCATTTCCGAAAAGTAGTTCAAACAATTCTCCAATTGTTCTTTTTGCCATTATTTTAAACCACAAACCAATTATTACCACACATTCAATTAATGTATTTATTTTGTCTTCTTCCTCTCCTCTTTTTGCAAAACAGGTATTGATCCGGAAGGTAGCCGCCTGAAATACAGTATCTCAGGTCCAGTTTTTTCTGTCGATCGTGATACGGGTGTGGTGCGATTACGTCAGGAACTGGATCGTGAATCACAAGACACCATTGAGGTCATCATCAGTATAACCGATGAAGGTGTCTACAATACCGAACCGAATACGGTGTCACTGCGCAGGGTAATACCTGTGCGGGACTACAATGACAATCAGCCAACGTTTGTGGGACGTCCTTATTTGGCCAGTGTTAGTGAGGATTTGGCGGTGGGCTCCGAGCTGGAAATTGAGCCGAAAATTATTGTTATTGATCGGGATATTGGCGTCAATGCGGAATTGGAGGTCAAATGTGTGGAAGTGAGTTTTAATTTGAAATATAAATTAAAATTAGTATTTAAAAATCCCTTTCGTTTTAGGAAAATGATATATGTGACACCTTTGATGTCCAGGCTGAGAAAAATTCCGATGGTAATTACACAGCCCGAGTAGTGGTCAAACAGCCCCTGGACTATGAAAGTCGCCCGAATTATATCATGACAATATCGGCCACAGATGGTGCGGTGGAAAATCGCCTTTCCTCTGAGGCCACTGTTTCCATAACTGTGCTCGACATCCAAGATCAATTGCCGATTTTCACAAATGCCCCCTACTCGGCAACCATAGATGAGAACACACCGGCTGGAGTTAGCGTTTTAACCATAAAAGCCATTGACGGCGATGTCGGGATACCCAGAGATATTTTACTCACCCTAGAGGATGATGAGATGGGCCATTTTGATTTGATGCCTTTTGGGGATCCCAAGGAAGGTACTGCCATATTGAAGACCACAGGTCTACCATTGGATCGTGAAAATCCCGAAATTTTGCAAAATGGAGGAGTCTATGTACTGAGTGTAAGAGCCACGGAATTGGTGGACGGAAATCCCACGGATGACTTCTCCACGACCCAAATTACCATTGTGGTCAATGATGTGGATGATCATATTCCAGAATTCAATGGTGATACCTTTAATATTTCAATTGCCGAAAATCTTGGAAATGGTATGCCATTGCCGGGCTTAACGGTCATTGTCGATGATCGGGACATGGGCAACAACAGCCGTTATTCGTTGATTTTGAAAAATGTCAAGAATGCCGAAAATACCTTTGCTGTCAGTCCCACTGAAGCCCAGGGGCGGACGCCGATTGTGGTGAAAGTAACAAATTCTTCGCGACTTGATTACGATGTCCTGGATGAGGAATTACGAGAATTCTCCTTTGATATTTTGGCGCTGGTAAATGGTGAAGAGAAGTCCAAGGCCCGCATAAATGTCCAGCTAACAGATGTCAATGACAATCCGCCAATATTTGAACAGAACAGTTATCGCTTTTTGGCTGCGGAAAATCTAACCGAGGGCACCCAAATTGGTGTAGTTCGTGCCACAGACAAGGATTCTGATGGATATGGTTTAATTACCTATTACCTCAAGGGCTTTGGGGCCGAGTATTTCTACACCGATCCCCTTACCGGAGGATTTTACGTCAAAAAACCTTTGGACTATGAAAAACAAAATAGCTACAGCTTATCTGTGGTGGCCGAAGATGGTGGTGGCAGGGAAGCAAATGCCCAGGTCTATGTTGAGGTCATTGATGTCAATGACAATTATCCACAGTTTGAACAGACGGAATATTCACGAACCATACGCGAGGGCACCAGTCACTTTGAACCTCAGTTCTATCTGAGGGCCACCGATTCCGATGGACCCACCCAGGGTGGTGGTAAAATTCGTTATGCCATTGTTTCGGAGAACAGCATTTCGGGAAATGTATTCAGCATAAATGAGGAAACGGGTGAAATCGTTTTGCAAAAAACTGCCCGTTCCATGGACACGGAAAAGGGTGAATATGAATTGGTTGTGTCGGCAACAGATTTTGGTGTGCCACCATTGATGAACACCACGAAGGTGTTTGTAAGAGTGGGTATTTCTGGAAATCAACGGCCTATATTTAAGGGTCACTTTCAGAATATAGAAAATGTACCGGTGTTGGGGCCGCCAAGCTATCGTGTCTCGATACCTGAAAATGCTCCAGCTGGACATAATGTGACCATGGTCAAGGCCCACGATCCCGATGGCTTAGATAGTTTGCTGCGTTATCGCATTGTCGGAGCCAATGATAATTTTGAAATTGATGAAATGTGAGTATAAATTAGCAACATTTTTGTTCCTTTTATGTAAATACAAGGAAGTTCCCGCTACCTTGTCAGCGAAAAGTCCACCTTAAAATTTAGATTCGTTCCAAGAATTCGTGGTAGGTCTTTTTAGCACTCAAACTGCACAATTTTCCCGTTAGACCAAAATTTTTAATCAAAACTTCATATTTTCTACTAAATTTTCCTATCTCTATAGGAATACCATAGAAACCAACAGTGACCTCAATAACATATTTCCGATTTTAAGTTCCATCCCTACACTCAATGCCAAATTTAGTAACATCTCTTCATCCTAGACACCATATGCGGTCCACCATAAGTACAATTTAGGAATTTTGTAACAAATATGGTAGACATTTTCAAAGCTACCTCCAAACAATCTCCATATCTCAACCTCAGATACCAAAAGTGACGTTAATATTAAATTTCATGATTTCAGCTCTTTAGTGCCCCCATTAACAACATTTAGTACAAATTTAATACACATTTCCGAAGCCAGTTCCATGTCTCAACCACAGGCAACAACACTGACATATATGTCAAATTTCAGGATTTCAGCCCTATTCCTCCACTCATTGTACTATATAGTACTTTTCGTAGAATTATAGTACATACTTCCACAACCACCCCGATACCTCAATCTCAGATACCAACAGTGTCCTCAACATCAAATTCTAGGACTCTAACTCTACCCTTCACCCAAGACCCAATCCTATACCTCTCAGTACTTTATGTACAATTATAGTACACATTTCCAAAACCAATACCATATTTCAATCCCAGATACCCAGAGAGGCCTCAATAACAAAATTTGAGGATTCCAACCCTATCCATTCACCCAATACCAAGTTTAGTAACATTTAGTACGCATGCAATCTACATTTCTCCAACTAGACACAAACAGTGATTCCAAATTAGTACCATTTAGAACTATTCGAACATATCTCAAGTTCAGATACCAAAAGAGGCCTCAATATCAAATTTGAAGATTCCAGCCCTAACCCTTCATCCAATACCAATTTTAGTTCAATTTAGTACATTTCGTACTAATAAAGGACACATTTTCAAACCAGCGTCAAATATTAAACACAAATACCATCAGTAATCTATATATATGAGATTTCAGAATATTATCTCTATCCCTTCGCTCAAGATCAGGTTTAGTACTATTCAGTACTTTTCGTACAATCATAATACACTTGTTCAAAACCATCTCCATATGTCCAGGCTATACATGAACAGCTTAATACCTAAGACTTAATACCAAATTTTACACTGCAACTACTATATGTTTACCCAATACCAAATTGTACCAAATATAGTACTATTTAGTACTTTTCGTGCATTTGCAGTACCCATTTCCAAAATCAACTTAATATATCAAACTTACTTTCTAAGCTCGTTCTCATACCGAATTTCAAGGTTTTAACCCTACTCATAATACCAAATAGTACAATTTTTGAAGTGTGGTACCTTTTTAGAACTTTTCGTAACCTTAAAGTTAAAATTTTTAAAATCCATTGGTACACAGTGACTCTATTTCCAAATTTCAGATTTCCAAGTCTATCGGTTCATCAAAATTCCAATTTCTACTAAATTTAGCACCATTTAGTAAACATTAGTACAAATTCCCATAAAAACCTACATCAAACAATCCAATGGAAATTTTATTTTCCAATTTCAGGATTCCAGCCCAAACCTACACTCCCACAGTAATCCCAATGACAAATTTCCGGATTCAACTCTTATCGTTTAGGCCAAATACAAATTGTACAAAATTAAGTACCATGTAGTGCACATAAGTACACATTTCCAAAACTTCCTGTATATATCAATCCGACAGTAATCCTACTTTTAAATTTCAGGATACAAGCTATATTGGTTCAGCCAAATGCAAATTGTACCAAATTTAGTACCATCTAATACACATAAGTACAAATTCCCATAACTGAATACATGTATTAGATATCTTATATCCAATTTACATTATTCCAATTCTACCGGTTCTCCTAAAATTTTAAGTGTACTAAATGTTGTACCATTTAGTACACATAAGTACGAATTTCTTCTACATACCCAAAATCCTGCAATGCAATTGTAAACTTATTTCCAAATTGAGAATTCCAAATCTATTGGTTCGCCCAAATCCTAATTGTACCAAATTTAGTAATTTTAATTCACATAGGTACAGATTTGGAAAGCTGCTTCCATATTCCAATCCTACACTCCGCCAACGATCCTAATACCAAATTTCAGATTCTTGTTCTTGCAAATTCACATGGTTTCAAATTAAGTACCGTTTCGTACTCTTCATATACATGAGTAGCCACTTCCGAAACTACCTATTTACATCTATACTACTCCCCAACTCTGATTCCAATTCCAAATTTCAAGTTTTTACCTCTCACCGTTCACATAACCAGTACCATTAGTACCATTTCAGAACTTTTCGTAACATTACAGTTAGAATTTCCAAAACCCATTGGTACATATATCCTGCTCTCCAGCTTTGGCTCTCTTTCCAAATTTCACAATTCTATTTAATTCCGTTGTCCAATACACGGTATTTAATTTTTAGTACTTTTCGTACCCTTCAGGCAGCTACGAATTCCAAAAACCCTTTGTTTCCAAAGTAGTACGCGTTTCCAAAACCATTTCCATATATCAAACCCAACGAACAAAAAATGATCCAAATATAAAATTTTAGATTTTCAACTCTATTCCATCACCAAATACTACTTTTAGTACCATTTACTAAATTTTTAGTACGTATATCAGCGATGACCTCAATACCAATATTTCTAATTTCTAGCTCCAATTTTAGTACCATTTAGTACCAATCTTACACTTAGTAAACATTTTCAAAAGCACTTCCTTATATCAACCCTTCTCAGCCCAATCCTTTCCACAAATAACAAATTTCATACCATTTAGTACTCTTCGTACTTTTTTAGTACATATTTCCAAAACCTACATATCACAAGCCCACAACTCATATAACGGATCTGTTAGATTTTAGGCATTTTGGTATCCGTAGCCACATTTTCTAACCGATTTCTTTCCAATTTAGGCTTCCTCACGGTTGAGGTTTTAAAATATTCTACCCAGCTGAAATATCCGCCGTTATTCTTGATTCCTTTATTTCCATTTTATATATCAAGATTTTTAATAATTTCTAATTTTTTCCCTTTTTCCAGAACTGGCCTCATCACGGTATCCCCTCAGGCCCGCTTGGATCGTGATTCAAATATGGATAGTTTTGAAATCACAGTAAATGCCGTTGATTCGGGACTACCCATTCCAGAGACGGCTACAACCACGGTGTATGTCAATGTCAAGGATATCAATGATGAGAAACCGAAATTCGAACAACATAGCTATGTTGCCTATGTTTCGGAACGTACCGAAATTGGCGAAACGGTTCTCAAAGTTCGTGCCATCGACAAAGATCTCAATTCCAAATTGAACTACACCATTAAATCGCCCGTGAAGGCAACATCCAAGGCTGGCGTTAGCATCACCAATCGCAGCAAATACAATGTGGAAGAAGCTTTTCGAATTGACCCTGTCAAGGGTGTTATTTATGTCAATGGGAAGCTGAGTCACGATGAGGCGGCTGTGATAATTTTACCCATTGAGGTAAAAGACCTCAATGCCGAAGTGGATCCAGAGGGTCAAATCGATACCACAGAGGTGACAATTTATGTGCAATCCTTTAAGGACACCAATCCCGTATTCACCAACAAAGGCTGGTCCAGTTCCAAGCCGATTGTGCACATCAACATAATGGAAGAAATGCCCATTGATAGCACCCTCTTTACCCTGCAAGCCAATGACCCAGTAACGAAGTTACCCATTTTAAGTTTTGAATTGGTGGAACCCAAAGAATTGGAATATTTCCATTTGCACGAACATTCCGGTGAAGTGAGTCTACGTAAACGCCTAGACTATGAAGCCCTACAGGAGGGACAAACCCAATTCGAGTTCCAAGTCAAGGCCAATGCTCCCGATTTACAGCGCAGCACTGTAACCTTGGTCAATGTCACCGTGCAAAATGTCAACGACAATAGTCCCATATTTGAGGAAGAGTCCTATCACACTTCCATTGTCGAGAACAAACAACATCCCACAAAGGTTATACAAGTCAAGGCCACGGACAAGGATGCCGCTTTGACGGAACGTGATGAACGTTTGGGTTATCACAAAATATCCTATTCACTGTATGGAGAGAATTCTCATTTATTTGAAATCAACTCGCAGACGGGAGAAATCATCATCGCTCCGAATCAAACTGTGGATCGGGAACGTACACCGCGCATAAAACTGCAAGTAAAGGCGGAGGACTCACCCGGTCGTCCCACAGATTCGAAACAAAGTTTGGTGGATCTCACCATCGATGTGTTGGATGTCAATGATAATGCTCCCGTGTGGAGTTTGGAGGAATATACCACCGTTATACCGGAAAATGCTCCAACCGATACATTTGTCATTAAACTGCTGGCCACCGATTTAGATGATGGACCCGGAGGTGAAGTCCATTATGAAATTATCGATGAAGGTGAAGTAAATGGCTATTTTAAAATCAACAAAATGACTGGAGAAATTAAAACGAAAAGGGAGCTGACAGGCAAAGGTCGCTCAGAACCTTTTCAGATTCGTGTACGAGCCGAAGATAATGGCGATCAATTGCCGAAACAGAAATCGTTGAGCAGTGATGTGAGGGTGGTGATTTTCATCGGTGATGTTAGTGCCAACGATGGTATACCCTATTTTGTAGAACCCGAAATTGGTCAAATGGTCAATGTGACGGAGGTAAGTTGGGGGAGCGTTCATTACTTCTACTATTTCTCTTCAATACATATTAAAAAAATATTTAAATCCCAGATACCAACAGAGATCCCAATATCAAATTTCGAGATTCCAGCTCCATCCCTTTACGCTATACCAAATTTAGTAACATTTGGTACCTTCCGTAGAAATTTAAAACGCATTTTCCAACCACCGTTAAATCTTAGATACCATAAATAATCAAAATATCAAATTTCAGAATTTTATCTCTATCCCCTCGCCCAATACCAATATAGTATCATTCAGTACTTTTCGTACAATTATTAGTACACATACCCGAAACCACCTCCAAATGTTCAGGCTACACATGATCAGCGACCCTAATACCAAATTTCAGATTTCAAACATTATCTGTTCATCTAATACCAAATTGAATCAAGTTTATTACCATTTAGTACTTTACTTTACTTTACAAATATAGGACGGATTTTCAAACCACCGAAACCACCAAACAAATCCCAAACACAGATACGATCAGTAATCTAATTATCAAATTTCAGAATTTTATTCCTATCCCTTCATCCAATGCCAAAAATGTAGTACCGTTTAATACTTTTCGCACAATTATAGTACATATTTCCGAAATCACATCCATATGCTCAGACTACACATGAACAGCAACCCTAATACTAAATTTCAGATTTCAAGCACTATCTGTTCACCAAATATCAAAATGTTCTCATACCACTTGTAGTACACATTTCTGAAACTATCCCATATATCAACCCAGATGCCAAGAGATACCTCATTGTCAAATTTCAGGATTCCAGCCCTATCCCTTCCGCCAATAAATAAACTAGTACCATTTAGTACTTTTCGTTCAATTATAGTGAGCATTTCCAAAACCACTTCCATATCTTAACCACCGACATAAAGAGTGGCATCCATATCAAATTTCAAGATTTCGGCTCCATTGTTTTAATCAATACCAAATTTAGTACTATTAAGTATCTGAATTCCGGACACCAAGAGAGATCTCAATATAACATTTCAGGCTTCCAGCTCTATCCCTTCAACCAATAAAAAATTTAGCACCACTCAATACTTTTCGTACAATTATAGTACACATTTCCACAACCACCTCCATATTTAGTACTTTTTGGTACTTTTCGTACAATTATGGTACACATTTCCAAATCTGTCTCCACATCTCAATTCCAGGTACTAAGAGACCTCAATATCATATTTAAGGATTCCAGCTCTATTCCCTATCCCAATGCCAAATATAGTACAATTAAGTACTTTTCGTACAGTTAAGACACACATTTCCAAAACCGCCTCCATTTCTCAATTCTAGAAACCAAGGGAAACCTCAATTTTAAATTAGTCGATTCCAGCCACTACCAAATTTAGTACCTTTTAGTACTTTTCGTAAAATTATAGTACACATATCCAAAAACATCTCCATATCTTAACTACAGACACACATCTATATCAAATTTCCGGATTTCAGCTCTTTTTCTTTACCCAATACCAAATTTAGTACTATTTATATATAATAGTACACATTCCCAAAACCACATCGAATTCTCAATTCTAAATACCAAGAGCGACCTCAACATTAAATTTGAGGATTACAGCCATGTCCTTACACCCACTACCAAATTTAGTACTTTCCATACAATGTGGTACACATTTTCATAACCACCTCTATATCTTAACCACAGACACCAACAGTGATATCAATATCAAAGTTTAGGATTTCAGATCTATTCCTTCGCTCAATACTAAATTTAGTACCATTTAGTACTTCCCATTTAAATATAGTACACATTTCATATATCAAACTAATTTTCAAACCTTAATTCTAATACTAAATTTCAAGTTTTATTCCTTATCCGTTCAGATAATATCAAATGGTACCAGAAGTTTAGTACAATTGTAGAACTTTTCGTAATTTAGAATTTCCAAAAACCTATTGATACATCAATCCTGCACTTCACAAGTGACTCTTATGCAAATTTTCAGAATTCATGCTCATTCCGTTTGTCTAATACAAAGTATTCAATTTTTAGTACATTTTTTTACATTTCGTACCGTTTTAGTACGATTTTCCAAAAACCCAGCTTTATCACACGCCTACGCCCAAAAACTGGCCTTCGTGGAAAATTGCATTGCTTCCAGAATCCTTGGTTTAAAAATTTTCATATTGGTCCACTTTTTGTTATGGCCCCCTTTTGATTTCGGTATTCTGGACTTTTCAGTTTAAATTTTTCAACCAAATCAGCTGTAGATTGATGTTTTTTAGTTCTTTGTGGACAGGTTAGGCCCTCTCCGAAAATATTTTATTTAAAAAGTTCACATTCAATTTCGCACACATCTTTACTTTATCTCTTTTCGAAAGATATACTCTATGTTATTCCTTCCGTCTGTGGAAATCACTCTAGCTTCCGAACGAAATGAAGTAGGTTAATAAAATTTTACTCAAATGTATATTATGTCTGCAGGACTTTTGGTATTGAAAATGGGTCATGTAGGTCCACGTTTTGGTATAGCCCCCATATAATGGTACCTACCTATTTTCGGTATTTTGGTGATTTAGGCGACATTATTCGCCGCAAACGTTTCAAATTTGTTATTTGAAGTTCAAAATGGATACTACAGCTTAAGATAGAGAGATAGTATCGTAATGGATACTACAGCCTATGAGAGAAAAGTGTTTGTGGAGGTCCATGTTTTGGTATAGCCCCCATATAACGCTACCTCCCTATATTCTGTATTTTGATGATTTTAGCGACATTATTCACAGCAATTTTTTCAAATTTGGTATTTGAAGTTCGTAATGGATACTACAGCCTATAACAGAAAAATGCCTGTGCAGATCCACGTTTTGGTATAGCCCCCATGGTTCCTTCCTATATTCGGTATTTTGATGATTTTCGCTACATTATTCCCCGATTTATTTTTTTAAGTTTCGCATTTGAATAATGTAATGGCTTATGACAAAAGTTGCAGGTCCACATCGTCGTATAGACCCTAACTAATGGCTACATTCCACATTTTTAAGATTTAATCCGAATTTTTAACGGAATTTATTTTTTGAAAATTGCCAAATTCGTTCCAAATGGTAGACAGTATTCAAAATTCGGCCCGGCCGAACTTACAGCTTTTTTGCGTGTTATTCCTTTATTCTGACTTCCAAAACTAGATATTCAAATTTTGAAAAACATATTTTCAGAATTTACCAGCTGGCACGGTTGTCTTCCAAGTACGTGCAACAGATCCCGATGACCCAAATACACCATCCGGCACCTTATTCTATCGGATATTGGATGACACCTCAGACGCTGAATCATTTAATATTGATGAAACTTCAGGTTTGATTACAACCACTGAAGTGTTGGATCGTGAATCGAAGGATATGTATAATATAATACTTGAGGTCTACGACAATGGACAACCAAGACAATCGGCAACCAGGGTGCTGCAGGTTAAGGTATTAGATGTTGATGATCACAAGCCGAGATTTGTAAGGGAAATTGTAAGTAAATTCGTGATTTAAATAATTAAAATCAAAATTAATATTTATTTGCCCTTTCAGGATGAAGGACCCTTGGAGTTGATGCTGCTGGAGGAGGAACCGAAGGACACTATTGTGGGCAACTTCACAGCCGTGGATGAGGATATTGGGGAAAATGCAGCAATTGAATACATTATTACCGAGGGCAATGAGTTGAATATTTTCACCGTCCAAAGGACGGAGGACAACATGGCCATCCTAAAGACAAATCAACCGGTGGATCGTGAAGCCTATGAAAGTTTCACGCTGACCATTAAATGTCTTAAACTGGGCGAACCTGATTCCGTGTATTTGGGTGAAACCTATGATCGTTTCGATCTCTCACAACGACAAGTGATGATCAAAATCCTGGATATCGATGATAATTTGCCACAATTCGAACACAATGATATGTCGGTGGGTATACGAATCAATGTTCCGGTGGATAGTAAAATCACCACCGTACATGCCACAGATTTGGATGCCGAGGCGCGGCCCATTCAATTGACCATTGAAAATGTAACATTTGTACCACAATTCTACAAGAGGACGAAACAAATTGAGACCACATCACTGAACAGTTTATTCAGTCTCAACAATCGAACGGGAGAGTTACGGACAAGTGGTTCCTTTGCCGATTATGTTGATGGTTATTTCAATATGCGCATAAGAGCCAATAATTCGGAGAAATTGAAACGTCACACCTTCAACAATTTGAAAATATTTGTAATACGTGATAAGTCCCTGCTGAAATTCGTCTTCACCCGGCCACCCAGCGAGATACAGAATATCATCAAGCCATTCCAAGAAATGGTAAAGGAAAAACTGAAACCCCTTGGTTTGGATTTACATCTACTGGACACCCAGGTGTTGGCTCGAGCCGATTTGAGTTTGGATTTCTCAGCCAGTAGTTCATGTTTCCAGCTCTTCAAGAATGGATCGGCCGTCTCAATGATGGAAATGCAAAAACTAATGGATTCACCCTGGCTTAAGAGGGAACTATTCGATATATATGTAGAATATGGAGTTAGTGAGGTAGAACCCTGTTCGGTGCGCAAGCCCATTGCTGCGGCCAGCTATATGTCGGCGCCGGGTACATGGTTGGTGATAATTGCTGGCTTCATTGGTTTGGCGGCCATTATAACGGCATGCACGGCCTGTTGTCTGAGGAGGAAGTGAGTGGAATTTTATTATTACTTAATACTTATATTAATTTATCATTATCCTTGCAGATACAAAATCCACTCGAAACGCAGCCTACAGCAAGCCACACTTTCCACCACCGAAACCTATGGGGTAGTTGGTGTACCCACAGTCTATTTACCCTATTCCGAACCAATTTATGGTCCATTGTAGCATCCAGTCATGTGGCATAGTTTTAGTTAAATATAGCAAACTCAAATAAGCTCTAGTTGTTTAAGATCCATTTTTTAGCCACCCCTAGCATCCCTTGAAAATGCCTCCATTCAATTCACATTCTTTGTGTTTTGAATTTTGGCAATTTTTCAAAAAAAACGAAAAAATAGCCATAAAGACTGCGCATATTATTTCAAGCAACTCAATTTAGTTATATAATATGCCTGTGATTTTTCTTTGTAATTTACATTTACACGATATGTAATACGAACTCTACACATACATAGCAATTATTTATGTATTGGTATGTTCTTCACTTAGTTTTAATTTTAAGTTTAAAGACGACATCTTCTTTTCTTTACTTTCTGAAATGTGATTCATAAGAGGTTTTAAGCTTCATCCCTTTATTTTATTTTTCTATAAATAATTTAAAAATAATTACTATTTTTTTAGACAACGAAATCATCATCTTCATCATGTTCAAACATGTCAAATAGTCTTTAGTTGTAAAAATGTTTGTGTAATGAGAGTAGATTTAAATAATTTTTACTTTTTTGTAATTAAAAAAAAAAAAATAAATTTTAAGTGAAATGAACATTTATTTTTAGTTCCCTCAGAGGATAGAGAATATTATTTTAACTCTAGACTTCTTCGAAAATTTGGGCGCCACATGAGCAAAGTAACTTAATAAGCCGTAATGTAAACTAATTTTTGTTGCATTACCAATATATTTGGTACATAAAACCACTAAGGACAAGTCAAAAGTCGGGCGGGGCAGACTATATGATACCCGACACCACAAGCATATTTAGTAGAGCTCCCCTAACAAAAGAATTTATTTGAAGTAGATCACACCAACTATCAACATTTGGCTTTAGAGCAGTTATAGTTTGGTTTCAGAGGGAACTAATATATGGGAGGCATAACCAATTCTGAATCGATTTTCACTAAATTTGATGGAGACATTTTAAATTTTTATACCAAGAAACATTGCTATAGAGTGCATTATATCACTTCGAGAAGGATTATATTAAATAAGTAAAAAAGCTGTAAGTTCGGCCGGGCCGAATTTTGAATACCCTCCACCATTTGGTACAAATTTAACAAGATATTTCAAAAAAATAAAATCCGTTAAAAATTCTGTTAGGGTCTATACGACGACTTGGACCTGCATAGGCAACTTTTGTCACAAGTTATTACAATATTCAAATGCGAAACTTGAAAGAAAAAATCTGTTTATAATGTAGCTAAAATGCCGAATATAGGGAGGTACCATGGGGGCTATAAATGGACCTGCCCACACAATCATAGGCTGTAGTATCCATTACGAACTTCAAATGCGAAATTTGAAACAATTCCGATAAATAATGTCGCTAAAATCATCAAAATACCGAATACTGGGGGTTCCGTTATATGGGGGCTACACGAGGACGTGGACCGGCACAGACAATTTTCTGTCATAGGCTGTAGTATTCATTACGAACTTCAAATACTAAATTTGAAATAGTTCCGGTAAATAACATCTCTAAAATCATCAAAATACCCAATATCGGGAGGTACCGTTATATGGGGGCTATAGGAAGACGTGGAATCAGAATTTTATGCTGATCAAGAATCTATATATTCCACTATGGTGGAGGGTATAAAAATATATATCGGAGCCGAGTTCCACAATATGGGCACGTTTGTCCCGAAATTCACTCCATTTTGACTGATATTAGCCATTATTAGCACAATAAACCTGAAATCGGATTAAGGATATATATGGGAACTATATCAAAATCTTAATCGATCCGAAAAAAAATTATATGTGGTGGTTATATCCAAATTATAGTTGTTCTCGATAAAATTTGGTAAAAGTATTTGTGAGCCCTGTAAGATATCTCGTACCAAATATAATTGTTGTCGAATGGATATTACGAATATGAGGGACATAAATTTGATGTACTTGCTTCTAGACTGACTTCGGTCGGATGTATCAAATTTCAGGTCATTGGGACTGATATTGGCCATTTGGCGCACAATTAACCTGAACTTGCTTGAAAATATATATGACAGCTATATCCTATCTGCTCCAATTTTGATAAAATTTGACAGAGGTATTTCCGAGCTCTATAAGATATTACGAATATGGGGGACTTACCAAACAAATCGAATGAAACATATATATGGGAGCCATAGCTATATCTGAAGTGATTTTCAGTGAGTGAAGTGATTGCTTCTAGACTGAATTCGGTCGGATATGCCAAAATTCAGGTCATTTGGACTGATATTGGCCATTTGGCGCACAATTAACCTGAAATCGGTTGAAGATATTTATGGGAGTTATATTCAAATATGAACCGATGTTGATAAAATTTGGCAGAGATGTCTCTGACATTTGGTACCAAATATCATTGTTGTGGAGTGCATATTACGCATGTGAGGGACTTAAAACCTCAAATCGGATGAAATATATATATGGGAGCTACAGCTATGTCTGAACCGATTTTCTCCAAATTTGATGTACTTGCTTCCAAACTGAATTCGGTCAGATGTATCAAAATGCAGGTCATTAGGACATATATTGGCCATTTGGAACACTGAAATGAAAACTCTTCTGGTTTTGTTGGGGAAGCCGCAAAATGCGACTTCCCCATACTTTATTCAAATTAGAACTGGAATAATATTATCTTACAAAAATTAACTTAAGGTAAATGAAGAATAAAGTGAGCGTGGGAAAACGCTTAGTAAGCATAATGCACGCTTACTATCTCGGAGCAGTGCGGACAACATACCTCAATAAAGTGAGGGTGTAAAGTTACATACTGAATGTATTGTAACTTGAGTAAAAGCATACTATTAGTTGGATACAGAAGGTATGCCAACTTGGACAAATATGTAAACCAGTATGATACGTTGTCATACGGAAGGTATGGCAACATGGATGAATCAAACACACTACACCTCCCTTTTTAACAAAGAATAATCAACGGTTTAAGTTGATTATTCTTAGTTGAGTTTAATTCGTATAATTTTATAATTCATGAATTTTATTCACATAAATTTACAATTAACAGTCAGTGCTGGCATTATTTAAATTTAGTTCTGGTTTATTTTAAAATTACGTTTAATGTTTACAAGTTACTCATATTTGTTTTTTTTTTTTTTTTGTATAAAGACTAATGCTTACATATATATTTAACTTTACTTATTTAATACGGTTACAATTTTTGTTCTATAATATATGTTGTAGTAAATAAAAATTATTACATGAGAATAACGAAAAATAGCAAAAAATTTTTTTTTTGAACTTAAACGATATCTATAAAATATAATTTATGATTTGTAAAACTCAAATATAATTTTATAAAATTTTGTTGTGGGATCTTAAATTTTAATATAAGTGATTTAATATGTTTTTTTTTTTTCATTATTTTACATATATACATATTTTTTTATTAATTAATAGATGTATTCTTATATATTAGTTTACTAAGTCGAATTGAAAAGTTAAATGATCTAAAGTAGATTTAGATTATTGCTATATATGTATGTTTATATATTATTACTATGTATTACTATATATATGTATGTTTTTATATTATTACTATGTATTACTATATATATGTATGTTTTTATATTATTACTATGTATTACTATATATATGTATGTTTTTATATTATTACTATGTATTATATTATTATATTTTCATAGGTACTGGCCAGTTATCTATGTTTTATGTAAGTTTTATAATTTATTGTATGTATATGCTAAATTTATATATACGTATATTTTAGAGGCAGAGTTATATTTAAAAGGCAGTTAAAAAAAAACAATATTTTCAATATTTTTGTTCTTAATTCAAGTTATTGCTTAATGCATTGAACAATTTTAAACGGTTTTTATGTACTTCAATACTTTTTCTGTCCGACGATGACAGCGTGCAATTCCCATTAGAATCTATATTTTCGACAGAATAGGGGCCTTTGAATAATTGTTCCAATTTATGGCCGCCATTATTCTCTACTAGTACTAAATCTCCTATTTGTACGTGTAAAGGATTAGCCGTTTTGTCATATTGTAATTTATTGGAGAATTTTGATTGAGTAATCATTTTGGCAGCTCGTTGTCTTGCCATTTGGAGTCTGTACTTCACTTCTTTTTCATAAGAGTCAACATTATAAAGTGGATCTACAGTGTTAAAACCAATAGAATCAATGATATTTGGAATTTTGCCGAAAACCAATTCATACGGACAATAACCATGGATTGTTGATGGAGTAGTATTAAAACAGTATGTAAAATATTTAAGCCATTCGTCCCAATCCGTTCGTTCTAATGACACATAAGAACGAATATATTCATTAAATGTCCTATGTGACCTTTCTATGGATCCAACTGTTTGATGGTGGTATGCTGTTGAGGGAGCATGTTTCACATCCAACATATTAAAAAGTTCCTGCAGGGTCTGGTTTTTATACTCAGTTCCTCTGTCAGTTAAAACTTTTCTCATTGGTCCATATGTAAGTACAAAGTTTTCAAATATTGCCGTAGCTATTGTTTTTGCCGTTTTATCGGGTACTGGTATAGTTACCAGGTACTTGGTGAGATCACATATTATTGTTACTGCGTATTCGTTACCGCTGTTTGACTTAATAAATGGGCCTATTGTATCAATAACGAGAATATCAAAGGCACTTGCTGGCGTTTCCGTTATACACATAGGTTCTTTCGTCCTTTTAAGGGACTTGTTCTCTTGGCATTTACTGCAATTTTTAACATAGTTTTTGATGTCTTTAGACATTCCTTTCCAACGATATTTATTGCGGAGTTTTTCTGACATTCTTTTGATGCCAGGGTGACCTCCGTATAATGGGTCATTATGATACGTTTGTAGGAGTTTTCTTTTCTGCTCGTCAGCAGATATTTTCTCTAATTTTGGCGTTAACGCTATTGTTAGTTTCTTTAATAACTGGTTCGCACAGTTTTTGAAATCATTGATTCGAATCATATTGAATAAATCCTCATTTAATGAGAGTTGCAACTTGAATATTCCCTTATTACCGGTTATTTTTTCCAACCTAGGAATGAATTGACTTAGATCAAAGCTTCCATTAGTAATAAGGTCATCAATCTTTACATTTTCTAAAGTTTTTCTCCCGTATTTAAGGATACACTTTGGAGTTGTACCAGAGAGAAAAAACTTTAGGCGAACACTTTTCTTTACCTCCTTTGCATTTAGTGGTTCGTAGACCCTAGGAATGTCTGACACGCTTGTTAATTTTTTATCTTTTTGTGTTTGGTCTTTCTTTCTTTTGGTCGTTAAACCTTATCAAGACCGTTTCCGACTGAAGCAGCCCTGATATAATATTTTCGCAATGTCTTTTTATGCAACTGGTAAAGAGTTACCAGTAGTTGCGCGGCTAGTTAAGCGATAATTATAATAAGGTAAATAGTAGGATGCTCAACCTTAAGCACAATGTCATTTACTACATTGGCATTCGGTTTGTCTATTTTAGATTCTGAGCCACCCATTGTTTAACAATGTAAAACCAAGCTGATAAAGATTTTATAGATTTGATGATAT